GGATCTTAATAATATCTGATTTCTATTATGCTGGTTTCTGGATATATTTGATATTCTAATGAATGTGCATCATTTTGTGGATTATTTGCATTATATGTACCGGTATGGGACGATGGCATATCAGGGATGGATTAGATCAAAAAGTTAAGTCCCACCCCTTTATACATACGGAATGGATTAACTAAAATAGTTAACTCCTACATGGATATATGTCCTGTCAACAAAAACAGTTGAACGACATAACGGATGTTTATTTTCTCTCTCTGCATTAGGAATGAATTTATATATATATATATATATATATATATATATATATATATATATATATATACTTATGGTACCGTGATACGAGCTTGAGTCTTCTGATCACGGTTAGGGTGCGTATATCGCAAAGGTTGGGTAGCTAGATATAGCTGATGTTCCCTGGTAGGTCTAGGTACTTGGCCGCTGAAAAGTGTGTTTTTATGTCACCTTCTGCCCAGGCTGAACTATGTTATAGGCTAATGAACATACTATAATGTGTATATATATATAGACTATCTTAGATAGTACCGAGCTATCTAGGATGTATCTGCGTATCGGGTTTATGTACGGATTGTAGTAGGATGGAACTTGCATGTGGGCCTGACCCACCTTTATTTTTCAGGTGTTCGTGAGTATCAAGCTTAGAGCTTGATCGTGGTGATGCAAATACAGTCACTCACTCTTCCGACTACATAGGATATCTTTTCTTATTTTAGGTTTGGATATTTATTCTGTAAATTTATTTATCAGTTGGAATTATTAGGGGTCCACTGGATGAATTCCCGAGTTGTACAGATTTGAAGGATTTAAATAATATTAATTTATTATTTAAAGTTTGGGATTTTTATTTTAGATTTTTTTCAGCGCATTATTATTTTATTCTTAATTTAGTTTTTATTCTTGCTTGTTTACATATTGATTGTTTGGTATTTCTCGGATTTGTGCTCAGACTTGATCACCCGTGGCTCTAAAATCGAGGGGTATCACAAGCAGACTCAATTCTTGATCCAGAAATGATGTTTTACTTTGAAGAAATAATAAGCACTTATGTTGAATAAATTATTGAAAGAAATAAAAAGAAATGTTATCATTTTATATTTGGAAACCATAAAAGGATCTTCTAAAAAGTCACTAATATTCTATTTTGGATCAAATAAGGATCTGAATGTTGAAAAGATTAATGTTGTAATGTTTCTAATTTTTACTATTTTCCATTTTCTGAATTTTTTTTTTTTTGTTTTTGCAAGGGCATTTTCCTCTTTTTTTGTTTTGCGTGCCGGATACCATGGGGTGTGTCGGGTGTGTCCGAGAGTTGGTCGGGACATTTTCTCGAGTTCAAGACTCTTGTAAATGCACCAGTTGCCATTTCGGTATTTTCCTCTTTTTTGGCCAGAAAGTTCCGTGTGGGACCCACTTCCGGAATCATCGCGTACGGTGATTTTGGTTGGGTCAATTTGCATCTCATTTATTTTATTTATTGTGTTTTATGTGGTTATTGTATAGTTTGTATATATGTGTGTGCGCGCGTGTGGTGGGAAAAAAAAAAGGAAAAAAGAAAAGTAAAAAAATATATATATATATATACTTATTTTTTTATGGTGGGACCCACCACTCACCCATTTTGTGTGAAGAGGCCAATTTAGGCCTCTTATTCTCTTTCCTCGGCTATCTTTCTCACCCTTTTTTTCATTTCTTTTTATTTTCATTTTTCTTTAAAGCTTTAAGTTTTGATTAATCCTCAATCGTTGGGAGTTTTTGGGTGTCGTTTGCGGCAAATCGGATAGCTCATCGAGGCCGTTACGTTAATGTAAACAATTTCATATTTTGTCACCTTCGGAAATTTCGAGTTTAAGGGTTCAAATTGGGAGTTTTTCATCATTTTGAGAGTAAGGGTGTTTAATTCACAATTTCTTAAATCTTTGTGAATTATCTTATACATATTGTGTCTTAGTATGTTTATCTTGTATGAATTCTTGCAAAAAATTGTTTAATGATGTATATGAAATTGTGTAAGTATATGTTAAGTGAAGTGTTATGATAATGTATGCTTATATGAAATAAATCCATATTTTCTATGTTTGCTATGCTAGATTATTATTAAATGAAAGCATGATGTATTTTTGTGGGAATTCTTGTAAAGCTTGCTAGTGGATTAAGTTGAATTAGTTGTAAAATGATAAATTGCGGCATGAAACATCCATGCATTTCATTGGGAGGAAATGAGAATGATGTTTTGGAAGAAAAAAGGGTTTTTAGGAAAGGTTTTGACAAAAGGGTTTTTGTGAAAAAATCGAACACCAAGGATGTACCGAGGGTCCGTGGATTTAGTGTAACCTAAAGGGAACTAGGGAAATCACCCTAGCGTGGTTGAGTTATCTGGGCCCCAAATGATGCCGCGGGGTTATCAAGGGTCAGGGACAATAACCAATCCTTCTCTTGTGTTGCCGAGGAGTCACCGAGGGACGGGTTATGTTAACGGTTTGAAAAGTGATAGACTAGATTTTGAAAAAAAAAGAGAAAATGTGGAGCAACGTCATACATGGCATTGCATTTCATGGCATGAATTTATTTCATTATGACTTGAATTTGTATTGTATTTTTCCCCGGCATAGCATGATCCCGTTGCCTTTGTTTCTATTCATTGTTTGGATTCATGGGGTCTTAAGAGGTGCATCTTAGGCACTTTCTACTGAGCTTTTGCTCACCCCTTTATTAACATTTTTCAGGACATGTCAAAGATATGACGGATGACAATCCACCACAAGCATGATGGGACTAGAAGGGATGTTTTGCAACCTTTAGTGTTTTAGAGTCATTCTTTTGTAGAATATCAATGACAAAAATATATTAAACTTGTTTGGCATGGCCTTGTAATGTAACTTTAAGCTTGACTCTATTATGATGTAAATTGGACAATTGTAAAGATCATATATATTTATGATGTGAATGGGGTTAATGAAGTTGTAATTATAAATAATTAATGATGTTTTTCATCCATGAAAGTAGTATGATGCATTTCAAAGTGTTTTGGGATATGTTAGATAAGTTTTGAAGGTCCAAGAGAGGTCATTGCATTTTTGTGCATTTAAGCAGGTTGTTGTAGGTTCTTTTTTAGCAGAGATCATGCCAAATTTTTTATTTTTTATTTTTATAATTGACCTCGGGGTCGGGTAAGGATTCGGTTAACGGTTCGGACCTACAGGTTCGGGTCGTTACAAATGTGTCCCTCTATAAATTAATAAAAAAATAGGTAAAAAAAATTAATTAAATGTGAAATAACTAAACTGCCCCTCTTTATATATATAATGTAGGGTTGTAGGCAAAAAACACCACCCTTATGGTATGCATATAGAGTATATAACTCCCCATACGTTTTAAATCTCCTTAACATTCAATTTTGAAGCAAAATAAGGATTTGAATACTGAAAAGACTAAAGTATTCTGCTACAACTGAATAAAAAAAATAGATAAATAAACTAATTAAATGTGACATACACACACATAAGGACATTATCGAAAGAGTCAAGTGTATTTCTAAAAAACTTATATCTTAAAAATGTCATGTACAATGCAACGCACATGAATAAATTTTATCAAAACAATGACATTAAACAATTTGCCATATTTATTCAAGTTTAACGGAGTTATATACTCAAAATAAAGAATAAGGGTGTTATTTGTCAAAAATGTAAACATTATAAGTATTTTTCTCACGTTTTGAAAATTTTATATCTTAACGGTGATTTTAGATCATTTTTTTGCTCATTTTTTAAACTTAACGAATTTATATACATAATATAAGCCTTTCTTTGATAATTTTTCTCTAACTTAACGGAATTATATACATAAAATAAACAATGGAGATATTATTAACCATAAGGGTGTGCTTCTCACTTTCTAACCCATGTTTTTTATTTTCTCGTTCTTCCAATTTCATCAATCCAACCGAAGCATAAAGATGGGTAAAAAAGAGAGTGGATGAAATACTTGAGTGGGAAAATGCAGAGGCTTTGAAGCAAATCCACAACAGCAGCCAACCCACCCCACACTCAAAAGGGCTCTGAGGTGAAGGCGGGGACGGTGACCCTAGACAGAGAGCGCTGTGCGGCGGTGAGTGAGGGCTGCAGATGAGAATAGATTCGAAATTGTGGGTTAGGAAATTACTGTGTGTGTGTATATATATATATATATAAATAACATTTCCGTTTGGTCGATTAAAATTAAAAAAAGAAAGAATGGTTCCATGTTTTTGGAACCGGATTGAATAGAACCATATCTATCCGATTTACCGGTTCAATCCATTTTTGGTGCACCCTACTTGTAAGAGACAGAGAGGCTTTTCAATCGGAGTCGCTGTTCTTCGCCGTGGGTGGATTTCGACGACCCTTTCTGTTGCCTACAACATCTCTATGCACTCGTAAACAGTAATACACTAGTAAGTACATTTTATTATTATTCTTTCCTGCATTTTATTTCTTTCAGAGGAATAGAAAACTCATCTTGCACTGACTCTGTAAGTTTTAAATATTGATTCCTGATAGAACATAACTCGAACCCTTATGCTGAATTATTTATTGATTTATTTTTTTGAGTTTGTTAGAATTGGATTTTTGCCAAGCCACCTCTTGGATTTTCATGGGTCTTCTAGTATGAGTGTGTGAAATGAAGCCACAGAAGGAAAAAGGAGGTTTAATTGGTTCACTCCTGAGTCCTGGCATTTGAAGTGATGTGCTATTTCAAACATTAACTTAAATCTGATTTAAAATTAAAAAGCAATTTCTAATTATGTTAAGCCTATTATTGGACACTACTCATAAAGCAAATGTCATCTCCATTACCAAATGTATTTATTGCTTAAAAGAAAAAGAAAAAGAAAAAAGAGATTAATAATACATCATTGCAAGGAAATTTATGTAACAAACAGGAAGTTTTATAGAAGACATAGCAAAGAAACTAAAGATCAGCTCAGGATTGGCTTATGCTTCCTTCTTATCCTTGAGTTTGGGTTGGCGTGGCAAATGCTTATCAGTTTCCTCTATGTTTCTCATGAGGTGAGCAAACATTGATATGGGCAACATCTTGTGGCCTGGCTTGGCATCTGTATAAGCAGAAAGCTGAGTTGTCTCTCTGACAAGAAGTGAGAACTTTGAAGTTGAGGTTGATTGAATATCCCTTGCCTCTTTGATGAAGTGCGCAGGCATGTCTGCTACCTGCAATGCTTGGAGAGAAGTGAGTTCTCCGAGGCCTCTAGGAAGCCTAGTAAAATTGGGACAATAAGCAATGGTTAGCGTTTGAAGCTTCCCCATTGCTCCGTCTTTCATCGCTGTCCATCTTTCGAGTTTTTTACAACGGAGAATTGATAGTTTCTTTAGCTTAAGAAAAGCCCTTGTGCCAAACTGTATCTCCTTTCCGTTGTAGGCATTGCACAATGAGAGAAGAACTAGGCTGGGCAAGTGCTGGAGAGCTGAGAGGGGATCTTTCATTAGCAGACAGTCCCACAAATACAGATATTTGAGGGAATGAAGCTTCTCAATCCAAGCTAGTAAATTATCAATTGGGCCTCCAATTCTCAGCTTTTCTAGGTTCTCAAGGGGATTGCAGGAAATCATGTCAATATGTTCCTCAGGCGCACATTTTATTGTCAAGGAGCGGAGGAATTTCATATGATCAATGGACTCAAAGAGGGTTACTGAGTGGCAGCTTTTAACCTCACCCACTGATAATTTTTGGAGTTGAGGAAGATGATGTAGTCCCTTTGTGATACCTTCAGTAACTCCAACTCCAGCGAGTGTTTGGAGATCTTTAAAAACCTCAATCGCCACGACTAAGTTCACAACTTTATCACCAAAAGACCCTGCAAGAAGAAGATGCCTCAGCATTTTCATGCCTTCTAAACCGTCGGGCAAGTCCCTGATGAATGTGTCTCTGATGTCTAGAGTCTGTAATCTTTGCAGTTTCTTGAGGGACGTGGGTAGCTTTTTAAGCTTTGTACCCCTCAACCCCAAATACCGCAACAAACCAAGATCTCCGACTGAATCTGGCAGGTCGTCTCTGGTAAGATGTTGAATTTCCAACACAGAAAGCAGCCTGAAGCTGCTTACTGATGTGATGAAGAGAGGCTGGTGTTTGTATCCCTTGAATAAAAGTAGAGAATACATTCCGCTCAGGTTTAGCTTGTCCACTTCAGTTATGGGAATGCTGCTGCTTTCAGCACTTAAGGAAAGGTGGTGGGGCCTCTCTGGCTGTAGGGCATTCCCACTTCTGTCAAGCAGAGAACTGCTGAATTTATCTTGTTCAGACCTTTTTAGGGCAAATTCTCGCATCGGTCTTAGGACACGACATGTTTCTACCTCTCCATCCAAGCCCACCTGAGCCATTTGAATCATGTTCCTCCAGATGAGCTCTTCCATTTGAAGTCTGGCAGCCTCCTCCGCGGTCATGGTAGCCCTTGCTTGCACAAAGCCCTCTGCTATCCACAGCTGCTGCAGTCTCTTACATGGGATCTCAGAATTCAAGGGGAACAATGCAGCATACAAGAAGCAGCTCTTGAGCACCGCGTGAAGATCAGAATAGCATAGAGGTGTGAAGTGAGCCTGCGAAAGCATGTGGCGGACTATGGTCCATTCTTTGGTTTCCATCTGCTTTGTTGAGAGAAGCCCTCCAATAGTAGCAATGGCAAGCGGGATACCCTTGCATATCCCCAAAATTTCTTCTGCTTCTGATTTGACTACAGAAGGCCAAAACGTGGTCTGTTGCAAGCACACGCGCTTCTGGAGTAGATTGAAAGCATTTTGTGGTGTTAGCCGCGGGATATGAATTGCATATTTGCAATCAGGTAAGTACTGTAAATTTGTTCCGGATGTGAGGAGAATCTTTGCTTGGCAGTCTTGAGGCAAAGCACTCTTTACATATTCCCATTCATCTTTTTTCATAACATCGTCCAACACCAGCAGGAACTTCTTCCCAACCAAGCGGCTGCGGATCATCTCTCTCAGAGATGCATCGTTCATTGCATCAATATTCCTAGGAGCCATCATGGACATGCTTTTGAGAATCCCTCTCAGCACATCTTGCAATAGGCTTGTGGTTGGACTTTGAAATACAGAGGCCCAAGCATGACAATTGAAATGATGTCTCATGCTCTCATAAACAGCTGCTGCTATGGTGGTCTTGCCAATTCCCCCAACTCCCGTCACACTGATGATCACAGGATCACTTTGCTCTTCCTCGACCATCAACCAACTCTCGAGCTTGCTTACTTCCTCCTGCCGCCCTAAAATTGAAGTCTCAAGAATCATTTGCGTGGCCCTTCTTGAATCATGTGCCGGCACTGTAGTAGCAGCAGCTTGCACGTGGGTGATTCTGACAAGATTCATATTTAATGCTTCCCAGATGAGTCTCTGCATTTCCTTGGTCGCCTTCTCTGAGAACTGTCCCAACAGTTCCAACGAGTCCATTCCAAACAGGTGCTTGTGCCAACTGGTGGTAGAGTCGGTAGGACAGGCACGATTAGAAGGAAGAGTCAAATTTCTTACCACTGACACATTATTTTCTGATGATATATGTCTGTGGCTCCGCATTTGATGTGATGAATGAAACCCGTTCCCATTAATAATAGAGTTGGTCTGTTGGTGGCTTCTGGACAAAAACTGCTGAATCTTGGTTGACAAGGTATCCTTGCCCACGATGAGAAAACGCGAAGAAAGAAATTTGCTAAATAGAGAACCAGAAGTATTCTTATCGAACAAATACAAATCATAGGTAACAATGATTTCTTCAACTTCTACAGCCAGAGCCGCAATTTGTGAAACCCACCTTGAGATTTTTTCATATTTCTTTATCTTTAATTCTTCTTGATTGTTGACATTTCTTCTCCATTCCGTGTCATGGAGATCTCTCTTCCACTCTGCATCACGGAGATAAGGTTTTACCCGCTCGAACACTTTCTTGATCTGCTCTAGGTGGACGGCTATTAGCAAATTGGATTCATGGCTAATACATTCTTTGAGTTTGCGGAGGAGGTTACCAACTGGGACAGCCATGCATCTTCCGCTTGTAATTAATGTTTGGAGGCCATTTTGGAAGGTACAAGAAGAATGAATTGATTATGGGTCTTTGTGACAAATCTAGGAATGAACTGGATTGGGGTCACTATGAGTACTGTTTTTCCTGTGGGATGTATGAAGCTTTCTACAAAACTAGATTGAATGCAAGAGATTGGAAGAAGTTGCTTTTAAGAAGCACTTAGGAAGTGCTTAATCATAAGGAATTCTGTTTGACAAGTGCCTCAAGAGAGATGGCTTTTAAACCTAGCTAAAGAGTGCTTGAGATTCTGAAGAATTGCTTTTAAGAACTTAGAAGTGTGCTCGGTCATATAAAGTTCATTCAACACAAGTTGCTAATGTTTAAAACCTTCTTTTGATGCGGACAATTACAAATTTTATAATGCTTACCTTATTAAAATAATAATAAATAAATAAATAAAAATTATAAGTTTTATGTATAATATTGGAAGCTATAAACTTCATGCAAGTAAATACTGGACCATTGCTCAGCTGGTGTAACCTCTTCTCCCTCAAAGGAGAGGTGAGAGGGTCGAGTCCCATAGTGGGCATTTGTGGTTGTGTTTTTGAATATTTACCTAATAATTTATATATACACACACACATATAAATAAATAAAAAAAACTGTGCAAGTGTAAAAATTTTACTAATTCTAAGTAACAAAATTTCTAACATTTATATTTTGTTAGTTAATCTCTCTCCGGTTCTCTGTCTGGTAATAAAGGTCAAGTTGTCTTAACCATTTTTTTCTCGCTAGCCTTGTATCTCTATTCTTATACTTGATATTTATTATAATGTTAACTTTGTTTGACTAAATTTTGAGTAGAATTGAATGTTTCAATGTTGAAGTTTTACCACGTTGAAGAATTCCTTGTTTCTCTTAAATAGTTTTGGGTTAAGACACTGTATCCCAAAAATTCTGCTGTCTTTTTCTATTACAGTCTTCACATTTTTTAAATTTGTTTCAAAAACTTCAGTGAGCTTTTTGAGAGATAATATAATTCAATTTACAAGTGTAAGCTCTTAGAGAAAAACTTGTACTCTTGCAAAAATTAGTCAGCCACATAAAGCAGTATCAGCTGAAATTATTAGTCTGCAATAAAACTATCAAAAGTCTTGTGTGGTACTGGTCTCAATAATGCTGAAGAGAAAGTCAACTTCCATCTCCATGAGCACTCTCCGATTTACCCAAAGCCAAAACATGTTACTGAATTGAAACCACCAAGCCTTGCCAGTTATTCCAGAAATGGACCTCTTCATATTCTGAATACTGATTGAATTGATTGAAGTGAAGTCCCTTCATAGTCCATAATCTAAACTTTATCAAGTCCCACTATCTCCTTTTGAATGATTACCACATCTCTAGTTAATTATAAATACTCTATGATTTCTCTTTACATATGAAATATGGTATAACTGGTACTATTTCTTTCAAAAGGTGATCAACTGTAAGAAATGTCAATTCTTCTGGTTCTGTGATTTGAATAGCCAACTGGTCAATGAGCTGTATATAGAATGTACCCCATGTTTAGTTAAGGAAATATATATATATATATATATATATTTTTTTTTCCCCTTAACTAAGCATGGGGTACATTCCTAACTGTATCCATTCCATTACCTGAGCAGAGTAGCCACCCTGAATCATTTTAACATATCCCCTCTTGTATGATTTTTTTGGTTATTTCTTGTGTTGTCGTCAATCACTTGTTCTTGGGTTGAATTAGTTTATTAGTTCTGTTATGAAAAGGAAGTAATTTTACAATGAACTGGTCCTCTCTTATGTGGTGGATGCATGGACTGTTTTCTGGCAAGATCTGTAAGATAGAATCATGGAAGCACAAAGGAAAGAAACTCAAATATAGTTTATTCCAACATGCATGAGTTCTTCCATGCATTTTCTGAGTGTTTTTTTTTTTTTGGATGAAAAAATGGGTTCAAGAAGTAGTTGAATTTTGAACTTCTCACATTTGTTGGTTATTATTCTGTCTTTTAATCACTAAATGATCCTTTTCACATTTGCCAATCAGATTCTTAAGAGTTGACTTGGAAACAGAAGCCAACCAGCTTGGAAATTGCTTGGGGCTTGCAATGAAGTTCATCAATTTTTCTATACCCTTGAGGTGAGAAAATTTCTTAAATTCAAAAGTTGATTAATTAAGCTAGAAGCTTCTGAGAATGCAACTTGATTAGGCTCACAAATAATTGTTTATGAACAAGCTGGCTGGTCACCACACGTTGCAATTCTCTTGCAATTGAAAGAGTCTATTTTGAGTACCATTAAACGACTACAATCATTCCCGACATCCCGTTGGAGCTAGGTTATCAGTTCGATCTCAAAATTTAATAAAATACTTAATTAAATCACTGAAATTTGTGTTCAATCAATACATTCTAGGAGTTGATACCCACTTTCTTCAGCTACCGTGATCGTAATATACTAAAAATAACGTCAACTGAAGGATTAACAGATTAAAGAACAAGAATAAAATGTGCAATTTGTGAAATGTGTTTGACTAACCAAGAAATAAATTTATAAATAAAGTAATGCTTTATTGTCAACTTCATTCTATGATCTTATTTTATCTTTTTTGTTTGTTCTCACCATCTCGTATTAGTTACTTTCACTTTGAGTATAAATATACACGTCATGAAATATGTATTCATTACCCAACTTTTTGGATTCTACAGACATTGTAAAGATTCAAGAGATAGGATCTATGCGTTCGCTATTGCAAGCCCCAAGCTTGTATGATTGAATTTATATACCATGTACTAGTATAATCTTGACATAATTTTTTTTATTTAAATGAAAATAATAAGAAGAAGCTAACATATATATTTAATCATAGCATAAAGTACTGCACAACAAACAAATTTTAAGAATGATAACGTGATATCAATCATGTACTGCTTTAAGAGTAACTTTAGTTATACTGCATTATGTCATATCTTTCTTAGTATAGAGGGAACATATTTCATAAGCAACCTTGCACTTTTCACAATAAGTTACATTTCAATGTTAAAAAATATGAGAAAGACATTTATTTAAGGAATAACTTCTTCCAAGAAATATTTTCAGGAGAGCCTTTCCTTGAGTGAGAGACAATTATTCTACCAATAAAGAAGAGGCAAATTATGGGAAAATTACTATCAAGTCCTACTTTTCTCATTGAAAGACAGATAAGTCCTAAAACATGTCTTTAGGACCAATAAGTCCTACTTTTGTGATTTTTTTTCCATTTAAGTCTTAAATCACTACATCTTCCATTTATACCCTTACTAAGTGAAAGTAAAATTTTGTAATTATGAAGATATTCAAGAATTGATATATAATCTAATTTTTTTATATATATTCCTGTAAGTTTTATTTACTAATTAATATTGCATTTTGAGTTTAAATAATAATTAATCTAATTTAAATTCGATTCAAAAACTCTTCTCTAGAATACATGATTTTAGTATAAATAAATAAATTATTCTATAAAACAATTAATAAAATCTATTCCTTTCTTTTTATTCCAATATTATGTCTAATTTTGTAAGGGTATATATGAATTTTTGGGTCTAAATTTTATATCTAATGTAGCAAGAGTATATATATAGATAATTTAGTAAGGGTATAAATGTGAGATTTAGTGATTTAGGAATTAAATGAAAGAAACTCAAAAGGATGACTTATTGGTCCTAAAGGAATTTTTTTAGGACTTATTTGTCTTTTAATGAGAAAAGTAGGACTTGTTTGTAATTTTTCTTCATATTTTTTTTTTTTTTATTAATGTATGTGTGCTAGGGCCTAATACCTGTGGCTTGTTGATTTATTTGAGAGAGAGGATTCTAATGTGATTCTTATGAATCAGGATTCTCTCCAGTTCTCTAAATTATCTATTTAATGCAATTTAAAGAAAATGCAACAAATTATATTAATTCTGAAACATCTACACAGCACATTTTCTCTGAAAATGCAACACCAATGCAATGTATTACATTGAGATGCAGCATTGTAACACTATTAAATCGAAAATGCAATACCGTTAGATTGTTGTTACATTCTCATTTAATGTTGTTGCATGGTATTGCATCCTTGATTGAATTGCACTTGATGAATATCCTTAAGAGTATGTGTTCATGAAATTCAAATTTTTGTTGTCATTTCTTTTATCTTACAGGGATGCATTGTATTGATTGTATGATTTTATCCAATCTCATTAGAAAAATGAGACAGTATCCACATATATCGTTGATCTTGTAACAAACAGTATTCAAAAGATAAAAGTAGAAAATTGCGATAGTTATATTTCAAAAACTTCTCTCTCCTGTGCAAGTTTAGGTCCAGTGTGCTTCAATTCTTAACTGAGCAGAGTTGCCACTCTTGAATCATTTTAACACATCACCTCTCATATGGTTTTTTTGGGTTATTTCTTGTGTCTTTGCCATCAATCACTTCTTGGGTTGAGTTAGTTTATTAGTTCTGTTACGAAATTGAAGTAGTTTTAAAATGAACTGGTCCTCTATTCTGTGGTGGATACATGGACTGCTTTCTGGCAAGATCTGTAAGATAGAATCATGGAAGCACAAAGGAAGGAAACTCAAATACAGTGTCTTCCAACGTGCATGAGTTCTTCCATACATTTTCTGAGTGTTTTTTTATGGATGAAATAACGAGTTTAAGACGTAGTTGAATTTCGAATTTCTCACATTTATTGGTTATCATTCTGTATTTTAATCACTAAATGATCGTTTTCACATTTGCCAATCAGATTCTCAAGAGTTGACTTGGAAACAGAAGCCAACCAGCTCGGAAACAGCTTGGGGTTTGCAATGAAGGTCATCAATTCTTCTATACTGTTGAGGTGTGAAAATTTCTTTAAGTTCAAAATTTCATTAATTAAGCTTAGAAGCTTCTGAGAATGCAACGTGGTTAGGCTCACAAATAATTATGCATAAACAAGCTGGCTAATCAAACCCACATTGCAATTCTCTTGCAATTGAAAGAGTCTATTTTAAGTACAATTAAATTACTGCAATCGTTCCCGTTGGAGCTAGGTTTTATCAGTTAGATGTCAAAATTTAATAAAAAAGCATAATTAAATCACAGAAATTTGTGTATTTCCCGTTGGAGCTAGGTTTTATCAGTTAGATGTCAAAATTTAATAAAAAAACATAATTAAATCACAGAAATTTGTGTTTGATCAATACATTCTAGGAGCTGAATATCCACTTTCTTCAGCTACCATGATTGTGATATACTAAAAAATACTGTCAACTGTAGGATTAACAGATTAAAGAACAAGAATAAAATGAGGAATTTGTGAAAATAAGGTAATGCTTTATTGTCAACTTCATTATATGATCTTATTTTATATTTCTTTTTATTCTTCCCTGGATGTGATTTTGCTCTCACCACCTCGTATTAGTTAATACTTTGACTTTGAGTACACACACACACACACACACACACACACACACACACAGGTCATCGAATATATATGATTTCCCAACTTCTTGTAAAGATTCAAGAAATAGGATCTATGCATTTTATAAACCTATGAGTTACTATGAGTTACTTGCCGGCCAGAACAACTGAATAATCAGGTTGCTTGTATAATTGAATTTATTATATTATTTACTAGTATAAGCTTGACACAAATATTTTATTATTCAATCATAGCTTAAAGAAATGCACAACAAATTGTTAGAATGATAACTTGATATCCATTTAGTTTCAATCATGTACCGCTTTAAGGCTCCGTTTGTTTCAATGTAAAATATATTTTCTTTATCATGTAAAATATATTTTTTATTTTTATTTTTATTTTTCGGTGTTTGGCAAAGGTTTAGGTCGAGTTTAAGGTTGCATCCGTGTAAAATAACTTGTCAAAAATTAATGGGCAAGGTATAAGGTAATGCTTTATTGTCAACTTCATTCTATGATCTTATCTTATGTTTCTTTTTATTCTTCCCTTGATGTGATCTTAGGTTTGCTCTCACCACCTCGTATTAGTTAATACTTTGACTTTGAGTATATATTTATATACACACACGTCATCGAATATATATGCATTTCCCAACTTCTTGTAAATATTCAAGAAATAGGATCTATGCATTTTATATACCTATGAGGTACTTGCCGGCCAGAACAACTGAATAATCAGGCTGCTTGTATAATTGAATTTATTATATTATTTACTAGTATAAGCTTGACACAAATATTTTATTATTCAATCATAGCTTAAAGAGCTGCACAACAAGTTGTTAGAATGATAACTTGATATCCATTTAGCTTCAATCATGTACCAAATTGTTAGAATGATAACTTGATATCCATTTAACTTGATAACTTTAAGGCTCCGTTTGTTTCAATGTAAAATATATTTTCTTTTTCAGGTAAAATATATATTTTATTTTTATTTTTATTTTTCGGTGTTTGGTAAAGGATTTAGGTCAAGTTTAAGGTTGCATCCGTGTAGAATAACTTGTCAAAAATTAATGGGTAAGGTATAAGGTTGCTTGATTGTCAACTTCATTCTGTGATCATATTTTGTGTTTCTTTTTATTCTTCCCTGGATGTGATCTTAGGATCTATGCATTTTATATACCTATGACTATGAGTTACTTGCCGGCCAGAACAACTGAATAATAATCAGGTTGCTTTTATAATTGAATTTATTATACTATGTACTAGTATAAGCTTGACACAATTATTTTATTACTAAACAAATAAGAAGAAGAGGAAGCTAACAAAAATATTCAAGCATAGCGTAAAGAACTGCACAACATATTGTTAGAATGAAATAGGGTATATGCATTGCTCCATTTGTTTCGACAGACAATATTTTACTTTTTTAGGTAAAATATTTTTATTTTTATTTTTGTTTTTTTTGTGTTTGGTAAAGGTCTTTGAAGTCGAATCCGTATAAAATTAATGGTTGAAAATGAGGAAGTTATTTTTGTTAAGTTTTAATACTTTATTTTATTCTTAAATATTTTACAGCAACCAAATATCAAAAAATAATAAAATATTTTACATGCAAACATAACTTTATTTACATACTCATTTTACTTTAAAATAATTTATTGTGTCTTGCCCAATAACTGGGTTAGGGTCACTGTCAACAAAATTCTACATATGAATTGGGTGATACTCTTCCGTAGTAGCATGTACTTTTTCTCCTGATGACTTGGCTCGATCTCCTGATGAATTGGCAACGATTCTGTGAAAACCCAAATGTTAGAAAGCATTTAGATATATATATATATATATATATATATATATATATATATAGATAGGTAAATGCAAAATTTAGATATCTATGATTTAGTGTCAGGCTGATCCATTGTGATTTGGGATCACGGGTTTGAATCAGGAACCTCTCTGCATGCGGAGGCAACAATTTTGTGATTTGCGTATGCTTACCTTCGTGTACATCTGATTTTTCTTAGATCATGCAATGGGAGATTTGGACACTTGGCTAGCCCTGTTTTTTTTTAAATAATTGTTATAAAGAATATATATATATATATATATATATATATAGATATATATATAGGTAAATGCTAAATTTAGATATCTATGATTTAGTGTCAGTGAGTAAATATGGAGATGCCTATCCACACTTAAATATGACGTATATAAAATTTTATGTCTGTATATGCCCAAATCCTAATACCTGAAAATATGTTTCCAAATAATTATTTGATTCGAATTAACAGATTTTTTTTTTTTTTAAATCTTCATTAAAGTTGGCCATTGCAACTTTAATCTGAATTTTTATGCTAAAAGGCTATCTGTTTGCATTATTTTTAATAATAATAATTATTATTATTATTATGAACTCTTCAAATTGAATTAGGAAGAAAATAAGCTAACGTACTTGAGAAAGCTACGTGCAACTTCAAAAAGTGGTGAAATAGATGAGACAGACCACAGTCAGATCAGCAGGTCAGGGTACGATCAGCCCAATCAGTAGACAAGCTTGGGCCTAAGTCAACGATTGGAGTGAAACCTTGGGCCTCGTGACCCAACCTCTTCAATCCAATGATCTTCTTTTAGAAACCATCACAATTTTGAAAGTAATATTATTAAATCCAAATAATATGAGGCCCATGGTGTAGTTGGACTCTCCAATTGGAATTACCAGGAAAAAAACAAAACTAAAAACAAACAAATGGCCTGCTTCCAATCTATAGAGCTAGAAACAATGATGTTGCAGAGATTACATTTATAAGTTAATCTTTAATTATTCTTTTAATTAAGAACTGTAGTAATACATTAGACAACATGTCTGCCACTTGATTTAGAATATATATATATAGCATTAGTATCAATCCATAAAACCAAATTGATAATATATATTATCCCATGAGGTATATTTTTGTTCAATTATGTTTATATATATTCATTAAAACAAATGATAATATACATACTATCCATGAGGGATATTATATATATATATATATAAATATATAAATAAAGAAGTTTAGTGTCTCTGGTAAAATTTAAAAAAACAAAAAAAAGCCACGGGTTGCTAAATAGATAATGACGGACTAATTATGACTTCATTCATAGGATTCATTTTGATTTTAGGCGGCCTTGAATGGTATCAACTTTTGTTTGTAATGATTTACAACTAACTTTTTAAGAAAAAGATTTTAACAAGAAGCATGTTGTGTTATGGATATTTTTAATTACTGAGGAATGGTTTGATCTTCTTTATTTATTTATTATTATTTTTTTTTCAAGATAGAAAAGACAAGTAGTCAAAGAGAGAGACAGGCCATGTGTTACCAACCTCTCAAGTGTTTGATATCTTTGGGACATCATAGGAGTGTTGTGAAGTGCTCTACTCTCTCTCTCATTTATTATGTGTGTGTTCCACAGCCCCCCGTGATCTCTTCTTTAACATAATCCGTGAACTTCTTTATATATATATATATATCACTCTCACCCATAACTTTAATGTAAATTTTTTTTTTTTTTCTTCTTTCTGTCTTCTTCTCTTCCTTTTAGCGTTTTGGATTTGAATTTACATTATGACAAACGGTTTAGTACTGGTTGTCAATTAATTTAACGGACAAAAACAAAGTTACAAACTTTTGACAAGAGCTGGAAATGGTAGATCAACTTTTAATGATTGAATTGGGTAGTGTAATATTAAGCGTATGTTACTCCATGGAGCGTCTACTGTATTTTTTTGAAACACATAATATACTTCCAATAGAAAATTACTCCTACTAATTTGTTATCAATTAATGTGACAATTGTGGAGATAAATATTATGAGAGGTAGTGTAATAATAGAAATTGGATTTGGTTTTTGTTATCAGATGATGCGATTAACATTGTGAGAAAGATTGTATTCTAATTCTAAAAGTGTACGTTGAAACACATCGAACCAAACAAAAGACCTGTCATTGTTTGTACTTGCTTTTGAATAGATGAACATTTCTAGATGAAGTCCGTTGGCAAGAACTTGTTAATCAATGCCTAATATATTTGACATTTTGAAGACGAGCCATTGTCCAACTGGTTAACACTAAAATACAGCTTCATTAATGTTGAGAGTTGAGACAGTGACCAATCTCAAACTGGTCCCACTCACACTCACTCGCTCACTCACACCGTTTACCAATATGTCTAATTGGTCACCCTCTATACGACACATTTAGGCTACACAAATTTCTCATAGACACCTAGTCAAAAGCGATGCTATGTGTTCCTTCTTCGCACGTCTCTACCCCCGGTCTTTACGACACAGACTTTTTTTATTTTTTATTTTTATTTGGACTCAAATTATTTGAATTAAGAGCTAGTTTAATACATTTAGCACCATTATTCTTGCCTTTTTATCATATGAGAGTTAGTCATGTGAATTCTTTTTATTAATGTCTTTTTCTATTCTTTTTTACTTGATGCCATTGTGTATTGTTTACATTAAAATTTTAAAGGCGAAGCCATTTACAATGCTTACATTTGCCTTTTTTACTTATCAAAAAAAAAAAATTAAAAATTATATAGCTTAATCTCTTGTTAGTTAAATAAATTTGTAATATTAAATTAATATATAGATGAAGAACCACCCGCTTAATAATCTTTTCCTTTTTTGACACATTTGTGATTACATAAAATGTCTGTCTCCATAGATTTAACTTTAATTGATCAAACCTGTCTCTTCTATTTAATATAATATGAATAGAGAAGACAAAAGAGTCAAACTTCAAAGGATAAGAGAGAGAAAAGCATGGTAAGTATATAATAATGTATGACAATTTAATACTTTTTTTGGACATAAGAATGACCCTTCAACTTACATCTCATTCAACATATTGCTAATTCTTGGTGACGGCTGCAATGACAAGTTAACAACTTCATGGACAATGGAGGGTTTAGTACAGTAGATTGTATGATTACAACTCAGCTGGTCCCACACATCAGATTACCCGGGAAAAAGACTATCGGACTGGAATATAATACTACTATTACAATCCAAAAATACAATATATTTTTATTAAAAAGAGAGAAGGTTTTGTGAAATAGTCTAGATTGTATAATTCTTAACTTTATACTTTTCATTATAAATGCCATTAAATTTATTTAATCCACAAGGAAGTGTTCGTATAAAATTTATTCGAAAAATATGATAATAATAGAAGCTTGAAATTTCAATATTCTCTGTAACACGTGTAAACATGTATGGATAATTAGTTGGTGTTGTCTCTATTTTAATAAGTATGGGTATTTAATGCATTTACATCATGTTGTCTCTGATATAATAAATACGGTATTTAATAAAAATAAAAGTATCATAATAAATATAGTTTATTATTTTTATTAAAATCGGTTTCTATTACATAAATACAGTTTTTTATTAAAATAAAATTCTCAAATTTAAAAATAATAAATATAATTTCTAATTTTTATCAAAATATTTCTAACAATCCTCTCACATCCAGCATTAGGTATGTTAACAACTCTTGCACAGAGAAGACAAAATAAGAAAGAGATGGCAACAAAATGGAAAAAAACAAAAAAAAAAACAGAAGGAAAAAAAAAAAAACAGGTGAAAAATAGTGCGATCCAGAAATCTGTTAAAAGGAAATTCTGAAATGAATGATACTTGTTTTTTACTATTAGGGTAAAAATGTCATTTTATGGAGAAGATTAATTATACATAGTACCAATTATACATAGTACCAAAATGGAAAAAAACAAAAAAAAAAAAAAACAGAAGAAAAAAAAAAAACAGGTGAAAAATAGTGCGATCCAGAAATCTGTTAAAAGGAAATTCTGAAATGAATGTTACTTGTTTTTTACTATTAGGGTAAAAATGTCATTTTATGGAGAAGATTAATTATACATAGTACCAATTAACTAGGATGATCTGAAGTATAATTTGGTTGGTTTTTTACTATTAGGATAAAAATGTCATTTTATGGAGAAGATTAATTATACGTAGTACCAATTAACTAGGATGATCTGAGGTATAATTTGGTTGTTTTTTACTACTAGGATAAAAATGTCATTTTCTGGTGAAAACTTGTATATCAGCCCTCTTAGGTGTACCCTCAACGATCATTACATACAACAACTCAACTCGAATTGGAATACATAAGCAAACGCGTTTGCCTTTTTTTGGCTTTGTATTGTTCTTTTCTTCCCTCTCAACCCATTCAAATCGTATAAATACAGACACCCCTCAAACACACACACTCACCCTCCAAACACACACACACACACTCTACTCTCTCTCTCTCATGGCCCTCTGCAACTCTGTCCTTCTCATTCTCTTCTTCTTCTTCTTCTTCTTCACCTCTCTTTCCCTCCAAGAACAAACCCACGATCAAAAACCCTTTAAGCCACCTTTGAACAACTCACTTTCTCTCTCCTTCCCTCTCACCTCTGTTTCTCTTTCTCCCAACTCCTCTGCAGCTTTACTCTCTTCTCTCGTATCATCATCAACATCCAAACAAAACCCAAACTCAAAGACCTCATCATACAACTACAGATCAAAGTTCAAGTATTCAATGGCTCTGATCGTTTCTCTCCCCATAGGGACCCCACCACAGACCCAACAGATGGTGTTGGACACCGGAAGCCAACTCTCTTGGATCCAGTGCAACAAGAAGACCCCCAGAAAGCCCCCTCCCACCACGTCGTTTGACCCTTCTCTCTCCTCATCTTTCTCTGTCCTCCCCTGTAACCATCCTCTCTGCAAGCCCAGAATTCCCGATTTTACCCTCCCAACTTCATGCGACCAAAACCGTCTCTGTCACTATTCCTACTTCTACGCAGACGGCACCTTGGCCGAGGGCAATCTCGTCAGGGAAAAATTCATATTCTCAGTTTCCCAAGTAACCCCTCCTCTGATCCTTGGTTGTGCTAAGGACTCCAACGATAATGAGGGCATTTTGGGAATGAATTTTGGACGGTTGTCATTTACCACCCAAGCTAAGATTACAAAATTCTCTTACTGCGTGCCTCTTCGCCAGAGTCAAGTCAAGGTAACACCAACTGGTACCTTCTATATCGGTCGCAATCCAAATGACCGTCTATTTCGGTACGTTGATCTTTTGGCTTTTCCCCAAAGTCAACGCATGCCCAATCTCGATCCTCTTGCCTACACTGTGGGAATGGTAGGGATGAGAATTGGAGGGAAAAGGTTGAACATACCGGCGTCGGTTTTCCGGCCAGACGCCGGCGGTGCAGGTCAGACGATGATTGATTCCGGCACGGAGTTCACGTTTCTGGTGGATGAGGCTTACAATAAGGTGAGGGCGGAGATTGTGAGGTTGGTGGGGCCGAGGTTGAAGAAGGGGTACGTGTACGGCGGAGCCATGGACATGTGTTTTGATGGTAATGCAATGGTGATCGGACGGTTGATAGGCGATATGGTGTTGGAGTTTGAGAAGGGTGTTGAGATTGTGGTTGATGGAGGGCGGACATTAGCAGATGTGGGTGGTGGGGTCCATTGTTTGGGGTTTGGACGGTCTGATATGCTAGGGCTCGCGAGCAACATAATTGGGAATTTTCATCAGCAAAATCTTTGGGTGGAATTTGATCTGGCCAATCGGAGAGTAGGGTTTGGAAAGGCTGATTGTAGCAGATCACTGTAGTTACAGTATGGGTCTTTCTTGATCAGTTACATCAGGAATATACATACATATATATATATATATGTATGTATGTATGTATGTATGTATATATGCATATATATGCAGTTTGATCAGTTGTAGAGAGAAGCCTATAGAGCATCTCTAGTACATAGTAGTTGATGGAGGACATGTATTATTTAATATAATATGAGGGTTTGTTTGTAACACCGAAAAGTCGTGATCTCTAAGTTGGTTTAATTAATTAATTAGAAGGCCAATGTATGTATTAGTAGTGTGTGACGTAAAGCCATAATTAGTTCGTTGAATTTGCTAATATTAGTATCATTTTATATCATTCCATTAATGAGATTTGGATATATGCATAATGGCACTACGTGTCTGGTGTTAATTCAAGAAAATCATGTGGGTGATAAAAGTCTTTGAAGAGTCTTAACAAGTGATCTCATTTTCAGTAGTCTATTATGACCACTAATTTTATACCTTGAAATTAAATTTAACATACTTTACGAGTGTTTACATCATATTTTGATACATGATCATTTTTCAAGTCCTATATATGATCGGTATTGGTTAACAATTTACACTAATTTTATCCAAGTTTAATACATTATTACCATAACCGTGATCAATACTACGAACCATGATATATATGCATAATACATGACATATATTTGTTATATAGAAATTATGAAATGGATCTGGGTCGTGTTTTATCAGTCCAACGAAAGTCCTCGTATTAAATAAAAAAAAAAAAAAAAAGTGAATCTAAACTATAAATAAAAATAAATAAATAATTTAAGATGTAATTTTATTGAAGTGGACCGTAAAATAAGATATGATTTAGAAGTATGTAATAAAAAAAAAAATTACCGTTGTGTAAAAGCGAGGGAGCGAGAATGTCACATGCAAATGTAGTGGGACATGGACAGCATAATGGGGATTGTTCCGCCGACCTTGGTTGCAACCCATATATTCCCGACAAGTAGATGATTAAGGATATTGTCATGGTAACTAAGGAAGTATTACTACTACACTAAACTACTTTTCTCACCTCGGCACGTGTTATTCTATTTGACTCATCATTTGACTATGATCATTAGCCTTGTCAATTTACCTTTTTGAACCACTTACTAGAACTACACACAATTAATCCCCTGTTAACTACATCACACCATTCTTTCATCACCAAAGTTTATCCAAACAATGAAATTAGGATGGGATTGGTGGGATTGCAATACTATGAAAAAAAAATTTCAATTTCAATTCCAATGTAATTAAATAAGTTTTAAAAAAGTCAAAATATTAAATAATAAAAGCGGTATACTATACATCAAAATTAAATAAGTCAAAATACAGGGTAATATATATTAAATAATAAAAGCGTATACTATACGTGAAATTTCACAGAAAGGTTAATGTAATTATTTAAAATAAAAAATTTAGGTGGGAGGTAAAATGAAGTGAAGTATTAATTAGCAGATGAAAGAAGAAGATAAAAAAAAAAAAAAACGTGAACTGAAAAAGGCTTTTCCTTTACTGGAAGGCATTAACAATTTGGCTCTTATCTCGTGTGAAGAAGTCATGTCAAATTATGTTTTTAACTGCACTCTTCTCATGCCACCCTTAAAAAGTTAGTAGTAAAAACCAAAGTGTTTTTTTTTTTTTTTCACCAAACACAATAAACCAAAGATTTTCTATGGGGGGTGAAATGGTGATGAGACGTGCACAATAACAAACACGAGGTATGCTAAAATCAATTCATTATCTATTGTCTTTTTTCATTCAACCCTATCCCAATCTCTATCTCTTTAGGAGCCAAAATGTTTTGAAGAAATAAAAATATTTAAATTATCTATTATTGAAATAATAAGTGTGGATCCAATATCCCAAGTAATGACAGATTAGTTACATTATACATCTCATCAGCCTTAATATTGACAATATTGCGCTCTAGTTAAGATTTGTTTGTGACTATTGAGGGAAGTGACAGATCCATCAGAAAGGTACAAGCATACAAAATTGAATTACGTTTAAAAGCTGCCAAAGAACACACTTCAATCATTACATTAAAGTATGATGTTAGGAATGTGTTACAATCAATTTGTTTATATGGGGTCACAGTTCACTTATTGAAGGAAGAAAAAAAAAAAAAAAATTAGAGAAGGAAAAAAATACTTTGTTTTTACATTATAAGTGAAGAAAGAAATTTTTTGAAAAAACGAAAAAAAAAAAAAAAGAATAATTGAAGAAGTGGGATATTTGTAAATTTTTTTTAAAAAAAAAAAAAAAAAGTAAATTAGAGAAATTTGAAAATTTTAGAGAGGCATTATTCAAAATTGCCATATAAATATAATATGTATATATGTATAGTGAGTTGGAGCAAGTTCCGCCCCTCACTAGAAGTGATTCCATAAATGGTTGTAAGTTAACCCCATGTAAAGAAGTTTCTTCGGGTTATTTGCAATAAGGATGTACTGCAGTGGACGTTTTCGATGAGCGTGTAGCAGACTAACGGCAAAGGACATGTATGTATGTATATATATATGTATATAATATTAATTAGAGAAGCAAACAAAAGAAAGAAAAGCGTCTCGAGGGAGAAGAGATCGAAACAGCTGGCTTAAAAGAAAAAAAAGGGTTTGGGGGAAGGTACTGTTTTCAAACTTACTTACTTCCTGCCTCGAGAACACGGCAAAGTGATTCACACACCAAATTGCACGCTTGTAGAATCTTACTTTGCTCAAAGATAGAGGATACCAATTACTCCATCAAAACAAACGCCACCTTCTTTTGAAAAAGTGCCACTTACGTACATACGGTTGTTATACACTCCATTATGCACGCACACACACATATATGTGTGTGTGCAGTGCATAATGGAGTGTATAACGGTATCAGTAATTCAGTATGTTGTATGTGTATATGTACGTACTATATGTTTGGTCCCCCACCCCACATTCATATCCCGCCTACGTTCTCTTGGGCAGCGTCCTTGCCTTTCCCACATTTGTTTTTGCTTGTTTGTCTATACTCTAGAGACAAGGATGTATATATTCATATATGTGTATCAAAGGTAAGATATTGTCCCATACGACTTTGATTTCATCAGCCCGTGTCCTCATTCCCGTGTTTATTTTTGTACATTTTTATTTTTCAAAAGTTTAAATAAATGCGCACACGGCCACAAACTTCCTTCCTGGAAGAGGGAAAAATCATACCAACCGATAAAAGTTTAGGGTTTTGCTTTGTGGTGGAATTTATTTATGTGGTGGAATTTATTTAAGTAGAGTAAAGTTTTAACATAGATGTAAGTGGTCATGGGGATTGGTGTACAAAGATTAGAAACACTTGATCACCCCTACCCTTTTTGGTGGAAATAATGGAACAACAGTCAATTTTACAGTACGTAAAATGCCTCCAGTTGCTAAATAAACCATAAATCATCGTATAATTCTACAGCAACATATACATGCAATGTTCAGTGGCATATACATACATACATATAAAGATAAAATTAGAAATTTTAAGCATTTATTAGGGGTTGATGGCATTTGTGTTGATGACAGTGGCTACAAGAAACACAAAGAATTCAAGATTGGCGGCACTAACTCCAAACCTACCTACCCCCTTAGAAAAGGAAAAAAAAAAAAGGGCGGGACTCAAAATCCTTTTCTTTGACAGTGGAATATTGGGTGGTGCATCACTGGATCCAACATTTCCCAATTTGAATTGGAACTACTGGTAAACCCATCTATCATTATGTTTTTTTCCCACGATAGCTCAGTCTTATATATTCTGCTCTTAAATGTCTATACTATCTCTATACTATCAACATTTTCACCCTAAATCGTACAACATTTCAATACATTTTGAGGAAGTGATTTGGTATTTTACAAATGGTAAAATCTGATCAAATACTATACCCCATACAAATAATAGTAATTTTTTTTTGGATAATTAAACAAATAATAATCTGAATCAACACTCTATTGAAATTTTACCTTTTTCTTTTTGAATGATTTCAAGAACTCTAATCATTTTTCAAGTCACAAATTTTTTTTTTTCCTTTTCTTTTCTTTTGTTTTAGGATGGCTAACATTTCAAAACCTTTAAAGTGCACTAGGAGTCGGACGTTTTTTCCAAGTAGAAGAGTACCCACCCAATTAAATATGCAATTTTAAGAGAGAGAGCTTGACCCGCCCATATATCTTTGCTCATTTTAAACGTATCTAACTATAGTCTTATTTATGAAGAAATATTTTGGGAAACGACAAAGTAATGATTGTGAATTTTACCCAACTGCGTAAATGAAAATTTAACTAGACTTAAAAGAGAACAGGAATCATGTCATCCTTTTGTTGATTTGAGGAAGTTGCCTCCTAACCATGCTCTTTTCCTCTCTTTGTGGGACTACTCATTAGGAATCTAATGTCATTCTTGTAAAGATCTAATTCAGTTTCTTTGGATACTTTCATAGCATTCTATGGTTGGTAAAGGCATTGTAGAGCGCGTGATTCTGAGAATTAGGATTTGGTGAAATTGTATGTCATTAGTACCCAGCTAGACCACAAAAAAATTGTTCTTCGTGATTGTCATTCCTTTTTCCTACAATCTGCATACATATTTGAGTTATTTATATTTTCAGTTGTAATTTTTACAGATTGTTGTTGCTTTTTGCTATTATTTCAGTTCCTTCTTGTCACCGAACTGATCACAATCGGCCAGTCATTGCTCTAGCACATTTAGAAGCCTCGACATAATCTTTTGATCAAATTGTTATGAGATTAATCATACATCACTTGATCAACGGGTCATTAGTGCAAGATCAGGAGTTAATCAGAAGTTATTCATTCGAAAATTAACTTGGAACTATCCCATCATATTCTACTTTTTGAGAGAAGGGTGCATCCAATTCCAAGGTTCTCTTTAGTGTGATTTGGGTGTCAACGAACATGACCATGTAACTTGTGAAAGGCATCACTAGCCACCAATTGACTGAGTTCCACTGGACTTGTTTTAATAGTTTCAGTCCTATGGGTTCAAACAACCTATTTGATGTTTAGAAAATATAATAATAATAATAATATATATATATATATAGAAGTGTTGGTTGCCTAGTTATTACTCAAACTAGGTAGGAGTAACATTTATAATTCTCTTCTTTGGCATAGAAAAAACTAGTAATATAATATATATATATAAAGTTACAAAACTAGACTATGTCCATGATCTCTATGTTAATATGTTTCGTTATCTACACATAGAATATGAAAGTAAACTTAAACTTCCCATCATTATCAGCTGCTCTAGCTTGGTGGTATCTCCTCATCCTCCTAAAGTGAAAGGTAAGGATTCAAGTCCTCGTAGAGGGCAAATGGGCGTGTGAGTTTCTTGCCAAGGAAAAAAAAAAAACTCAACTTATTCTGTACATGAGAACCTGGTTATATATTTTGTTTGCATAGCATTAGTTAAAAATGAATAAATAAAACTCCTGTAGAACTGCAATGTTAAATAGCATTTGGAAAATACCTGCTTAATAGCAATTCCGGGGAAGAGGAGCAATAAAATCATCTTCATTTATCATCTGCCACAAGACATATAAACTCCCAAGAGATGCTATTTGCACAAAAATGGCATCCACTTCAATGTAGTTCTCAAAGCATTCAAATCCAAAAACATTAAAATATCCCATAGAAAACTACCACTAAGTGATTGGAATTCCACTTCTGCACAAGGGTCTGTCACCCATGAATCCAATGCTGACTGCTGCTAAAGACCACTGTTGAAGTTTTGTGAAGGATTTGCATCAGCAGCATCTAATCAAAATTCCCATTTTCAATATCAATATAGCAAAACCATGTCACTGACTTCAACTCCTCATAGAATTGAAAACAAGATTATAATGGACACTTAAGTAACAACTACCTCCAAAGATAACAACACATCGGAACATCCAATCTTTTCCAATAAGAATAGACTACAAGCCATTATAAGTCGAGTAGATCTGCATTCACTTGTAACCAAGCCAAACTAGAAGAGATAATGTTTTCTGAACATGCAACAACTCTCTGGTGACCATTCATCGGGGTTTTAAGTGAACTTACAATAGTGAAGCATGATAAGCTTGATCAGGAAATAAGCCCTTGCTCATTTCTTAAATTAGTTAATATCTTCTGGTTTAACATACTCACAATGCCTTTCCAATAAAATGTCGTAGGTCACAGTAACCAAGAACGGTCTCAAATTAAGCATCACCTTTGAGAGCAATGAAGCAGTCTTCCTCTGCTCATAAGAACATTATAGTTTCCGACCCCTGATGCATGGCACACACTACATATCTCCTGGAGCAGCTAGACATGCCGCTGCAAAAAACCCATCAATGGAAACTCTATGCATGGCATAGGCATGCATCTTATGTCCCCTTTTGCACAGAACCCATCAATGATAACACTATGATGGCATCTGATCCTTGTCCAAGCCTCTTTCTGCATCAATAGCTCATCCCTTTCTAAAAGGCCCTGAAATATCAAGATAATCTGGTGGTCCAAACTTCAGGACTGTTTAGACAGGATCCTCGTCTCTTTAACATAGTAAATTTATTCTGGTCAACTTACAGAACTTCCATATAAAAGCTTCAACCTTCAGAGTCATCGTGTCAAGGCTGATTTGCATATAGAGTAAGCAAAGAAAACAAACTAAAGTCTATGTGAATTCACTTACTGGCTTGCATTCATTACCTACTGGCCAACCTCCCTGGGACTTTTACTGTTCTAAACACACACATCATCATCTCTTGTAGTGATCTTTTGAGGCTTTACTGAAGCCACTCAGGAGTGAAGTATAAGAAGCATAATCAAGAACAAGACCTTTCTCACTGCGTAGTTTATCAGAATTCACCAGGTTTCCGTGCTTGCAGTGCCCATCCAATAGGATGTTGTAAGTAATGTCATCCGGAACCAACCCTAGATTAAGCATCGCATCCAAGAGCATACTAGCATTTTTCATCTGTCCTTGCTTACACAGCCCATTCATAAGCACATTATAGGTTACAATACCAGGTACATGTCCATCCCTCTGCATCTCCTTGAGCAGCCTGAAACCCATCTTAACATCTCCCTTCTTACAAAAACCATCGATGACCATGGTGTATGTGGGATCATCAGGTTTCATACCTGCTGTCAACATCTCTCTCAGCATTCTTTCTGCATCAATAATTCTTCCCTCTCTGCACAACCCCGAAATAAGGGCAGTGAAAGCCACATTATCAAGCTCAATCCCTTCCTTGATCATTCCCTTCCTAATTTCTAAAGCCGATTCCAGATCTCCCTCTTTGCAACATCCATCAATTAGTGTAGTGTGCGTGATCTTGTCTGGTTTCAAGCCCCTGCTAATCATCACTTCAACAAGGTTCCTTGCTTCTTTCAAATCTCCATACCTACAAAGGCCATTGATGAGGGAGTTGTACGTAATCAAATCAGGTTTCACACCTTTCCCCAACATTTGCTGATATATTTCCATAGCCAAACTAACCCTCCCATTCTTGCAATGCCCATCTATCAGAGTAGTAAAAATAACATTATTCGGTACCAGCCCTCTCTCACACATTTCATTACACAACTGATTTGCATCATCCAACTTACCTTCCTTGCACAACCCATTAATCAGCGCACTGTAAGTAAATATATCAGGAAAAATTTTACTCTCCTCCATAACCCTCTTCAACGAAAACCCTTCCTCCAAATTACCCAGCTTGCAATACCCATTTATCAAAGTATTGAAACTAACAACGCTAGGCCTCAAACCCCTTTTCCCAATTTCATCAAAAATCAATTGGGCTTCTTCAATTTTACCATCCTTACAAAATTTATGCATCAAAATGTTGAAATTATAAACATTTGGAGGAAACCCACAGTCCAAAATCTCCAAATAGAATGACCAAGCGGCCGAAGGGTTATTCGATTTCATCAGTCGGTCAAGAAGCAGGCCACATGATTGAAATGGGATGCCAATTCTATGCTTTCGTACCAAACGAAAGCACTGCATCGCATCAAAGTCAAAGCCAGAATCAAGATAAGCATTCATAAGAGCATTGAACACAAAATTGGACCGATAGTTACCTCTGGTTTCGAGAATTACAGCGAAAACCGAAGACGCAGAGCCCTTCCCTTTTCGAGAGACGACGATTTGGATCAAATTTTGTGCTTCTGAGAGCATCTGGTGGGCGCAGAGGAAGTGGGTCATGGTGCAGTAAGATTGAACGGTGTGGCGAAAGCGGGGTTGAGAAGAGAGCCATGTGAAGAACGAGAAGAGAGAATGTGGGTCGAGAGTGTGAGGGTTGAGGTTGATCAGATTGATAATGTGACGGGTTGTGAGGGAAGAGATTAGCTTCTTGAGAGAGGTATCGAGAGGCTTTGCTGGGGCGTTCTTGATGGCTTGAGATAGGGTTGTAAGGATTGGGTCTTGTTCATTGTGATGGTGGTTTGATGGTGGTGGGGTGTACCAGGTGGTAGTGGCGGTGGAGAAGACGATGAATCTTAGTTTGGGCGGAGAGAGAAAGTTATAATGTGCTGTTTTCAGTATGGTCATCATCTCTGGGTCCGAAGTTTCGGTTCTTTTCTCTTCAACAGGTTGCTATAATATGTAGTAATGAAATATTGATAAGAGGCTAATATTTTTAAAAGTCCATCAAATAGAATTTGAGTTTTTCATGAAGATGTTTAGGACTACTGTTAAATCATTGAAATTTTTTGACAAAGACATACCGCTCAACAAGAAATTTTTTATTACATATGGGTGTAAAGGCGAATCCTATTTACAATCTCCACTCTTATCTTCCTCCCGTATATGCCTGTGATTATGTATAACTAACTATACCGAAGAAAATATTAAAAAAAAAAAAGGATAAATTACACCTAGATCCCCTGAGGTTAGGTCATATTTCAGCCAAATGAAGATTTTGGTTTTAACTTTCACTTACACCCCAATTTACTTTTTGACTTCTGATACATGTAAATAGACCATTTTACCTTCAATTTTTTAATACAATATATATATATAATCTTAAATGACAAAAAAGCCCATATATATATATATATATATATTCAACACCGGCAGCTCTCACCATTAATACCGGCAGCTCCACCAACGTCCCACCCTAACACCTCCTTGCACCACCAACCTACCCAAAACCAAACTGCACCCCCACCCAACACCTCATCACCACCACCCACCTAAAACCAAACCCAAAAATACACAAAATCCCATCCCACCCACTACCGAAATGGACGTCGATGACAAAGAATCGAAGGCGAGTTGATGTCGACAGCGGGTGTCAGATTACAACCTCTGCGGTGGCCCAATCAATATATCTCTGCAACGACACATCGGATTACGCTTACAGCCTCGACGGCGTCGTAATCGGCGGCAAAAATCCTCATCTCGTGCTACAGTCGCGTATCTGTGTGTGAGGGTTTGTGTGGAGAGAGGTAGCTATAGTCGCGACGGCAATGAAAGAGGTCGTGGTGGAGGTGGTCGCGATGGCGGCGGGAGAGACGATGGGATCGATTCGCCGATGACGACAATTTGTCAAATCAAATGGCGACGACAGTGGAGAAGACGACAATGACGTCGAAGCCTCCGGCGGCGTTGAATTCTTGTCTTCTTTCTTCGATTTAGGATTTCTTTCCCATTTTTCACCAAATCACACACACATATATATATCACCCACACCATATACCACCTCCGCCAGCCCGCCGCATCACAGCTCCACAACCCACAGCCACATCCGACGCCATCATCGCTGATTGCTCTGACTAGACGCCCGTCGTTGCTTTATCGTCGCTTGGGAACACACCGATATGAACTGGGTTTTGCTACTTGGAGCTCGCCAAAATTGAGTTTTGTTTCGCCGACACTAATAGCTCGCCGAAACTGGGTCAGTTCAGTTTTGTCGTTTGTCGCCGGAAAAGAACTGGGTTTCATTAAGCCTGTAATCCGAATTAAGTTTGGTTTCGCCCATTTTAATTGATTCCGCCGAGAGGGAGAGAGAAAGGGGAAAAAGAGGGTAGAGAGAGAGAGGGGAAGGTTCACAGAGAGGGGGGATGGGTAGTTTGGTTACAAAAATAATTAATATGAGATCAAAGGGTAGTATAGTCTTAAATTGATATTTGGGGTGCAAGTGAAATGCCAAATCACTAATTCATATATAAGTGAAATATAAAACCAAAATGTTCATATAGGTGTAATATGACCTAACCACAGGGGATCTAGGTGTAATTTACCCTAAAAAAAAAGATTATGTATAAATATATATATATATATATACACACACACACACTCACCTTATGAATGAACACCCATTACCACCTTGTTACGCAAATGCCCAAATTCATATTAGCTAGATTATGATCAAGCAAGGTAAGAAATACTGTAAGAACATCACATTGTTAAGTTTAATTTTCGGTGAACATCACCATCCTCCCTCCATTTTGATGTTTATGCAGAAAATCTTTGGTTGATTGATGTAGAGTCAGATTGCTTTAGGGGTCTCGTCTCTGTTTTTTCCAATTCATTGGTGAACTGATCTGCTTACACTCAATATTCACAAAGGACCAAACAATTGTGTATTATTATTATTATTTTATTATTTTTGTGTGGAGTATCAATATTGACGAAAGACACAGAAATAAGTAAAGTAAATAAAATGTACAATCCTATATTTGTATAATTTATTTGACCAACACTGAAAGGTATTGGCAATAATCACCATTTTGCAAGTGTTCATTTGCGTGTGTAGTTCAAAAGCAGGCAACTTGGGATCTGGAAACAGCTGCCTCAGGGCAACAGATTCGCCACCACTTGTCTGTAAGTTTAATTTCCATGCTTCTCCTTGGGAGGAAGTTCTACTTCAACGCGCTTGATTTCATCTTTCAATTCTTGCAAAAAGGATCGTCGAGATAGCTGTGAAGAACCAATTGGGCTGTTGTTGAAGAGAGTCAAAAGATGCTTCAAACAAGAGAGATACTCGGCCTTTGCTTCATGAGAATTGGACATTGGCCTCTCATTTCCAAACTGCAAACACCACACACACACACACAAAAAGAACAAGAAAAAGCAACTTCAGACATTAATGACTTGCAATCATACATAAATTTACATTTTTTATGACGAGCAGAAATCATTGTGTTGTGTCTAAAGGTAAGTAGAATAAACACCACATTCCAGAAAAAAAAAATGAGCTCGCATTAGTAATTTGTCCCATACAAGTCTAATTGTTGGATTGGATTTGCAATATAACTGATATTATCCTTGGAGAATCTTTTACTAGGTTATGAAAGAAATGTAGGAAAAATAGTAAAAAGAAAATTACCAGAAAATGAAATATTTCAAGGAAAGCATCACAGTACAATAAATGTCTGGATTGTGAATTGGAAACTTGCAGATAGGACTGCAAACGAGCCGCGGGCAGTTCGAGAATTACTCGGGCTCGGTTCGATTTGAGCTCGATTCGTGTTTGTTTGCTTAGTAAACGAACCGAGCTCAAACAGAATAATTGGGCTCGTTTATTAAATGAGTCAATCTCAAACACCTCCATGCTCTGCTCGTTAGTTTGTGAACATGTTCGTTAATAGGCTTGCTTAGGTACTCATTTTGAGCTCGTAAATATATATATATATTATACAATTATATAAAATATAATATGTGTTTAGCCCAGCATACCAAAGGTCCAATTAAGTGTTTAATAATCTCACACTTTTATTAGGCTCAATCCAAACCTCACTCCTTTCAAATACCCAATATCTCAAGACACTCTCAAGCCCATCATATCTATATATTTTTATCCCTAGTTCAATCACCATATTTAGCCCCTTTCCAACCAAACCCTTGCCGTCAATCACCATGTACATCTCTTACAGACGAAAGCCACCATCAAACCAAAGCTCTCAAATCTCACATCGTTGGCAACTGAAAAACAAGGATAGTTGGCGACCTTCTATTAACAATATCTGTTGGGATTTGTATGCCCTGGCATAACGAATTCCTATTTGGATTAAAGTGACTTATGTTCCTAACATATCTAAAATATTTATATTTTATACAATTGGTGAATTCAATGTATTATATTTCGATTCATTATGAAATTGATAGTGTCCACTTGATTACAAGAGATATTTATATGAATGTGATGGCGATCAATACATGAACATAAATAGTTCATAGTTGGTAATTATGGATGGACTCATTATTAACTAAGACTTGAACCGGATCCGCGTTAGGTTGAGATATATTGCGAGAGCTGTCATATGCAATTGCTCCCTATCACTTGGCATTCGACTCTTAAGCATAAAAGAAGTATAGACTCTTTTATTAATTAGTAATTACTTTAATTTGTTCGGCTGATTCTTCGGAATCCATAGACCGGCACTTTGGATAATTATGTAATTAATAGTTAGAGGGTTATATTTTCAATATTTGCATCATTGTTACTTGTATTTATTTTGTATTGATTATGATTGATCACAAAGTAAATTCGAAGGTCTTCGTGTGTTTTTAGACAAAATGATTTTCTATATATTTATTTATTTAAATTATTATTTTTGTCAAACAAATATTTTATTGTGATTAAGCCGTAAATAATCAAAGATACCAAAATAGATATATTAATTTAGTAGTCGGATTGATGGCTTTATTTATCCGGTAACTAATTATGCATAGAGGGGTCAAAATGCAACATTGACTTAGAGGTTATTTATTATTTAATTGGAGTTCAATTAATTTCTTTTAGTGGAGTAGAAATTAATTTATGAAATAATTGAATTGAGTCCATGGTATAATAGACCAAGTCAATTTTTAATTCATTGTTGCCAAGAAAATAATAAGCCCGAAGGATTCTCACTTATAGCCCAACTTGATATTGGAGGCCCATTAGATTTGAGATATCACGTGAATTTTAGAGATTGAGAAAAATATATTGTCTTCAATTATTATTTTTATGTTGCCTATATACATGGGGTCCATATATATTTTAGGTTGCGCCTTTGTGCAACAATTTTTAGAAGACAAGAAAATATTTCTCTCTAAGATTTTAGGGTTAGTGTTCTCATCTGATGGAGGCTCCCAAAAGCTAAGCTTTCCAAGGTCATTCATGGAGGCTTATAGGTGATTCTTAAAGGCAAGATCATTATCAACAAGATGGAGATCCAAGGAAAAGGCATCTAGCAAAGGGATCTACAATAAGTGAGAACATTCACTTTAGAGGAAAGATTTAAGGTTTACTCAAACCTTGATATAAGTTTTATATCTCTAATTGAATGAATCTTCATATTCTTCATGCATAAAACTTGTCCCTACACATGAATCAAGATCTTTATTTAAAAATCCCTCTAAAAGTTTTTAAAACTTCCGTTTCCCCAACACTATCAACACCGAACCACTGAAAGATTGGCTCTCTCTTATCTTCTCTTTTGATGGAGATCGATGTGAAGATGTGTCCATATGCATAACATATACAAAGATGGAAGTATTGTTGAGAGAAGATCAATGTGAAGTGCGGTGTTGATTTATAAGGTTTTTCTTGGTAGGCTTCTACGTATGTGTGTTTTTGTATGTGCGTTTCATCTGTGTGTGTGTGTGTGTGTGTATAAACGAATTTCGAGCTGAGCTCAAGTTTTTGGCGAATACTGAGCCGAGTTCAAACACTGAAGCCGAGCTCGAACAATCCTGCTGCAGATCGAGCCGAGCTCAAACAGCCCACTACTCGACTCGGCTCAATTACAGCCATATTTGCAGGTTTGCTAAGAAAATGGCAGTAATGGTCCAAGTAAGCACTCGTGCTGCAGATCAAGCCGAGCTCAAACAGCCCACTACTCGGCTCAGCTCAATTACAACCCTACTTGCAGGTTTGCTAAGAAAATGGCAGTAATGGTCCAAGTAAATTGTTTAATTAAAAGAAGAAAAGAAAAAAGGAATAAGAATCAATGTTATCATCTATAGAATTTTATTTTTAATATATAAGTTGTATTTTCGTGTCTTTATGAACATTCATATGTTCAACCAAACACAAAATAATTAAAAAAAAAAAAGCGTCACAATAAAAATGGCAGATTATGAAAGGTATTATCTGTAAAAAAATTATTTTTTAACATATAGCTTGTAATTTCTTGTCTTCATAAACATTCATATGTTTCCTCGGAGACCCACAAATTCCCCACCTCCCCCTTATGGACAAAAGTTTGTTCAAGACAAATTTCTTAAAGCTCACTTGCTAGCCCACAAAGGAATGGATAAGATTTTCTGCTGTTATGCGATTTCTAGCCCACGAATGCATTGTGCCTCAGATTTGGTTCTTTTAAATTATCATATGTTTTATATTTATTTTCAGATTGAATCCTAAAAATAAACAGAAAATTTTGTTTTAACAAAATATAAAATCTGAAGCTTCACTGGAGAATGTTTTCTTTGTAAACACAAATTGTTTGGGGGGGAAATTCGACAAGGAAGTGGGGTATAGGGCACAGATCGCTAATTGGGCGTCCCGTGCTTGGAAGGTTCTCCGGGTGTGGTGGTCTCGCCCTTGCTGGACTTCTCTGTTCCTCTTCCGGCTCCCCTCTCCGGCGGAGGCAACGCGAGTTTTAAAGGAGGGACGTCAGGACTAGGGGAAGGCCACCCTTCGTGTGGACGCTTGGAGCTTTAGGGTGGGATGCTCTGAAGTTTTGAAAGAGAAAGGGTTGAAGATGGTTACGTTGTACGGTCTCCCTCTCCACCTTTGGAGCCACTCTCTCTTTGTGACGGTCGGGGATTTGTGTGGAGGTTTTATATGGGTGGATGCTGACGAATCCCTTGATGCTAAAAGGGTTTGCCTCACTGTGTTTGTCGGCCGTGTTTGCCCGCCGTTTGTTTTCATCCACGACGACCATTTTTGCTATAAGGTGGCTGATTAGGAGGAGACACATTCTCAGTTTGTTCCGACGACGGATAGTTTGGAAGGCAATGATGGCTCACACCTGCTTAAGGAGGTGGAGTGGAAGCGATGGGAAGCCTTGGGCAAGAAAGGGATGGATGAGTTTCAAAGATGGAAGGCGTGGAGGGATGAGATGTGGGATCGCAACACAGCGTGTTTTAGGCAGATTTTTACTTAGCGGAGGAAGGAAAGCTTTTCTTCCTCGACAGTGTGTGGTCGGTATTCAGGTCACCGGGATTTGCAGAGGGGGGGAAGAGTTTGCTCCAGCCGGCAGACGTTTTTGCAGAGATGGGAACGGAGTTCTCATCGTGACGGGTTTCACGCGCGCTCCCAGCGCGTGGGTGGGGGAGTAAAAGGGACTTTACACATGGTTGGCAGAAAGTGAATGCCTATTCAAGATGGGGTACAGCTGTTCCCAATTTGAGTTCAAATTCCTGGGCTTGGAAGGTTAAGAAGGATCCGAGTGTTGTTGGGCCTGTTATTGTGCCCGTAAATAGGGCCATGGTGGCGCGTTTTAATTCTTCTTCCTCTTGTGGGCCGGCCTCTGGGCTTATGACTTATGACTTGCTTGACCCATCAAAGTGTGGGCATGAAAGAAGTGAGACGGACCAGTTGTTGGAGGCTGGGTGCTCTGATGGGATCTCGGATGGTTTGGGCTGCGGGGATAGGCCTAGGTCAGGACCCAGTCTTTTTACTTTGAGCCATTATGTTCTGGACCTGCTGTGGGAAATCAGTTTGGGCCTCTGTCCGTAGACGGCCCTTCTTCTTAGCTGTTTGGCTCGCCCTCTCACATACCTGGATGGCGAGCAAGGATGCCATCGCAGGGCCATCGTCTGAGAGCTAAGAAAAAGTTGCTCCTTCCTGCCTTCCGAAGAAGATGGACACGCAAGGAGAAGCAAAAATGGGTTCCCAAAGCGTTATCCGACTCGATTCCGGGTAAAGTTCTCTCTCTGAAAGGGTCCTCTCCTCCTGTGCTTTCTTCTGCTTCTCCTTCTTCTGAGTTTTTGAAGAAGTGTGCGGGAGTGGTGAAGGGGTTGATGTCCTCTGTTACTAGGAATCTCTCCCCAGTGTTTGAGAATGATTTGGAGATTGGGTTGAAGGAGACGCATGG